AGTTTTAGGATTGGCCTCGCATTTGTTGTTAATGAGTATGCTTATTAGGGAATTACTATTACTTTGTTTAACATTTATCAACTCCTTTATACCTTTCCAGGTGTTTTTTATGCTATTGATGTTGTGGCTAAAAAAGTTTGTGTAATATTTCTTTTTGCTAAACTTTAGAAGATTGCTTATAACATTACGATAGTGTTCAAATTTTTTATAATATTTATTTTTTATTCTACAGTTTTTTGGTTTTAAATATTTTTTATGAAGTTTATTTTTAGTTGTTATTGACTTGAGAATACTTTTCGTTAACCAAGGTTGATTATGTTTAACTACTTGATTTTTTGTTAATTTTTTATAAGGAGCATGTTTGTTTGAGATTTTATCAATAAATGATAAAAGACAAAAATTGTATTTATACTGTCATAAATACAAAAACAAAAACAAAAAAAAAACTTCAACAGTAAAATAATTTGTTGCTAACAATCTTCCAGCAGAATAATTTTAAAAATAAAATGTTTTTGTTTACTATAAATTTTTTTGAGTTTAGTGTGACAAGTGCTCCGCCAGGAAATGTTACAGTATGAAAGATAGCTGTGTATAAACGAAAAATATAAATTTTTTAAAGACTCGTTATTAAGAAAAGGTTTTGTTCGATATAACATGCAATATTTTTTGAGATCTTACCTTCAATATATTTAATATGAAATTTCCATGATAATTTTTCATCTAAGAGCACTCTCAGAATGTTTCTAGTCAATTCCCTTTTAATTATTTTATTATTGATTAAAAGATTGGGTAGTTTAAGAAGAATATTCTCGGCTTTACTAGGTTTATGGAATAGGATAAACTTTGTTTTCTCTACATTTAATGATAGTCGGTTACTTATAAAACACTCGTTGATCTTATATAATTCTTCGTTAAATATTTAAAAAAAAACAGTAATATCTTTGTGAGAATAAAATAAATTAGTGTCATCTGAAAATAAGATAGTATTTAATACTTTTGATGATAAATATAAGTCATTTATATAAAGTAAGAATAATAATGGTCCCAAAATAGAACTTTGGGGCGCTCCACAAGTTATTAAGTTGTTTTTTGAGTCTTTTGATACTAAAAGTATAAATTGCTTTCTGTTAGTTAAATATGATTTAAACCAAAGTAAACTTTGATTTTTAACACCATAGTTTTCTAATTTTTTCAAAAGAATTTCATGATTTACTGTGTCGAAAGCTTTGGATAAATCAATAAAAAACCTTATTGTATAGCAACCACTATTAAATCCATTTGATATATGTTTAACCAATTTAATTATTGCATGGTCAGTAGAATGATTTTTTTTAAAACGGTATTGGTTATTATATAAACTCTTATTTTCAGATAGATATTTATAAAGTCTGTTGTACATAATGCTTTCATATATATATATATATATATTGTTTTATAAAATTAAAAGATCATAAAAAAAACTTTACAAATAATCCAACTGTCCGTTTATTAAGAGCTAGTAAAGTTATACTTTCCAATTTAAAATCTGAGAATCTTCATCTCAATCAGTGGAAAAAACCCAAGATACCACAAACTGGTTTAACTCCATCAGTGATAAACGCCTCTATAAATTCCTTATTTTTGATATTGTTGATTTTTACCCTTCGATAACAAAAAAACTACCTAATAACGCTATTCATTTTGCTGAGCAGCATCTAAACATCAACCCTAAGGGGTCGTCCATGAAGTATGTGCACCAATAATTCTGAAATTTGACCCCCCCCCTCCCTGTTGCCATGCGTACTTTAAAGTCCCCACCCCCTTAAAAAGTAACATTTTCATATACCCCCTCCCCCTTAAATGAAAAAAAAAAGATAGCAGAGATACTTTAAAAGTATCTAAGGTACCTCCTCCACCTTTTTTATTTCAATAAATTTTTGTATTAAAAAAAAAATAGGCGGGGGGTTAAAAACGTATAAAGTATTTATAAAACCCCAAAGTTTGTTAGCGCCAAAAGATTCCAATTAAAAAAATATCATTAAATATATACAAATATAAATTTAAATATAGTTAAATCTTGCAATTTCGAAGAGATTGCTAGGCTGAGTAAATGATGTTATGGGCAGTAACAGCGGAGATCCGAGTTCAAGCAAAGTCCTATTTTACTTTTTCTGTTTAATGAGACGCATCAAAAAAAAAAAAAAAACTATACTTTAGGCAGACGTTTTTTTTCAGGCACCCCTCTTTAGTAAGTCCGTAAAAAGCAAGTCATGCTAGAAGAGTAATATTGAAAACAAAGCTTAAAACCCAGTGCCAAGTGTAGGCTACCCAAACCCCGTAATTAGAGGGAGAGAGGTGCTGTGGGGAGCAGCAAATTTTAAGCCCTTTTGCTATTTTATTTTAGCAAAACCTAGTGATAAAATTTGGAGGATTTTGAGACTCTAATGACACGTTTTTTTATTTTGAGGGAAGGGGGGTCTCCAACTTATTAGCCATTGCACTGCTAAAACCTGTTTTTTGTTGACTCAAAATTGGTAACCTATTTTTTGCACATGAATGCACACATGCCACTTTTTATATACTGGCCCTGAGTATACTCAGGGCCAGTATATAACGGGCGGCAAGCATTTGAGAGCTTTTTTGAAAAGTCTCTTCAAATGGCATAGGTATAAACATACTTAAATTTGTAGTTTGAACAATGTTTTGAAGTGGTTTATCTGGAACATCAAAAAATCTTGCGGGCGCCTATGCGTGTGTGTGCATAGAGAGAAACTATACCTTCTACTTCCTTTATAGTACATCTTTTTATTTTGCAAACTAGGATCTTTAGTCAGAATTTTAACTTTTCTATTGACTAGCTGGTTAATTGTGTAAAATTAGAAATTCGAAGTACGTACTTTTAAAATGAGCCCTACCCCCCTACCCTACCCCCGTACGCTTTCGTACGCTTGTTGAAGACCTTCATGAGCGTACATACTTTATGGACAACCCCTAACCATAAAACATCAATCTATTACGCAAGAAAATCACTATTATTTAATGATGATCAAGTTTGATTTAAAAATCAATCGGTTTATTTGATGTTTCAATGGGAGCATTTGACGGTGCTGAAATTTGTGAACTTGCGAGAATTTATCTTTTGCGTCAAATTGCACAATTTTATTATAAAAATGATTTCGGATTATATCGCGATGATGGTTTAGTAATTTTTTTAAAAAAAGAGTGACACCCAAATGGAAAAAATCAAAAAACATTTTGTTGAAATAATTAAAAAAAAAAAACTCACTACAACAATACAGTGCAACATGAATATTATAAATTACCTAGATGTCACATTGAATCTCAATGACCATACTTTTTAACCATATTCTAAGCCCGCAAATTGTATTCATGCTGATTCAAACCACCCGCCTAATATTTAAAAGCAACTTCTACATTCAAAGATTGTCTGCAAATTCGTCAAGTGAAGAAATTTTCCAAAAATCTACTCCCATGTACAATGACGCGCTATTAAGATCCGGTTTTAATCACAACTTTCATATCACCCTAATTTAAATTTACGTCATACAAAAAACCGTAAACGTAATATCTTATGGTTCAACCCTCCTTTCAGCAAAAATGTTAGCACTTATGTAGGAAAAAACTTTTTAACCTTAGTCAACAAACACTTCCCAATAAATCACAGACTTCACAAAATTTTCAACAGAAAAACGATAGAAATAAGTTATAGCTCTATGTTATATGTTATATGCCGAATATGAAATCTTTTTTAAATGCACTCAATCAACAAAAAAATTCCACCTAAAACCAACTGCAACTGCCTCAATAAAAATACCTGCCCTTTATCAAACCAATGCTTAACAAAAAACATTGTATACCAAGCCAATATAAGTTCCAATAATCCTACTAACACTCCTGTCAACAAATTCTACATCGGTATAAGTGAAACACTATTCAATATTTACTCTTAGTAATGCCCTTAGCAACCTTTTCACGGAATTATAACACTTCTATTGCAAGTTATTTCTTGTGCAAATCTCAATTTGTTTTCAAGTATTCTTTATGTACTTAGCATAACTGAAAAAAATTTTTTTTTTCAGGAATTAAGTTAAAATTCTCGCTAAAATAATGCCTCCATTACCAAACGCAAAATGTGAAGGAGTGTTTAAATGAATTTATTTGAATACGCTATCCCAAATCTACTTATTGTAGCCGAAATGTATTTACAATTAGTGTGTTCTGTTATCATAAGTTTCAATGATGGTATCAATTGCATTGGAAATGTTTTGATTGTTTCAGTTTCCACGCGAAAGTTTTTTTTTAAAAAAATGCGTTAAAAAGTGGCCAAAATAGAGCTTTAATTCATTGTAAATAATTTGAAAACACAGGGAAAAGTGAAAAAGTCTAAGAAAAGAGTTTATATTATAAAAAAAGAATACCAACCCTATAGTTCTAGATCTCATTGAATTAGTTCTGTTTTGTTTTATGTTAATAAATACTTTCTGATTTTCAAAATTATTTTTTCACATAACGTGTTTTTTGTTGTTTTGGTTATACCGTTTACATAATATCTTCACTAATTCTCTATGAAACTTCTTGAAATTTTCCACAAATGTTCGTTATTAATATAGTTACAAAATGACCCTAATTGAAGAATCTCGCCTATTTAGATTTGTACTTATGATATTTTGAATAGGCGAGTAAAACTGTAAAAATCATAAGTTCTTATGAAAATGACTATATTTTTGCAAAGTTTTAATAGTTTGAACGTAAATGTGGGACAGATCGTACTTTACATTGTAATAGAACAACTATGCAAATTTCAAAGTTTAACACTCACCTTATGATAAATAATCGCGTAAACGGTTTAATCCCTTTTTGGGACCCAAAACAACTTTTTTTATTAGATTTAAAAAAAAAAAAATTATTTCATTTTGTCTTCAATTGACCTATATTTGTAATTTATGTTAACTATATTTGTAATTGATGTGTTTTAAGAAGTTGCCTAATTGTATAGAAGT